TTAAGTTAAGTTTCAAGGAGTACAAAACACTTGCGGCAGTGCCACAAAGCGCAGTATGCATGCAGGTTGCAAAGCCTTGCCGAACACCTGCTACAAAACAAAAAACATTCCACAATTTATATACCTGTTCATTGCCTTATGAACGACGTGAAAAATAGGATACAAGAAGTATAATACTTGCTGAAATCCGATACGCGGATATTGTCCAAACACATATCAGTATATGCAGCTGTTTTCCACCAAAAATGAGGTGAAATTCTCAAGCGAGTTCAACATATTTAGCCAAATCCAGGCATTACAAATATTACATCATTTGACTAATATCAGACACCCCTACAATATAGTACAGGCATATCACACTAAAAACTCTTAAGAGCAGGTATGAATTACCCATTTGTGACTATTTTACAAGGAATGTCCTTCCCAAAATGTATAATGAACTGAAGGGAAAAAAATGTTCTTATGAATCAAACGGGGGGAAACTTTGGTCTACAGCACGGGTCACCAACCTTTTCGAAACCGAGAGCTACTTCAAGGGCACATAGTAATACAAAGAGCTACTTGTTTGATACTAGACTTCCTGAACAATGTAATAATAATAATCAGTTCTGGGAGATAAAATAGGAGACACTCTTCTTACCATCATCATTGGACCCATTTGAATAGCATTGCAAGTGGAACTGATTCCAAAAGCACAGTAACAGTACAATTTTTGACCCTCTTGTTGACTAGTAGATAGATAGATAGATAGATANAGATAGGTAGATAGATAGATAGATAGATAGATAGATAGATAGATAGATAGATAGATAGATAGATAGATAGATAGATAGATAGATAGATAGATAGATTAGATAGATGGACGGATGGACGGATGGATAGATAGAAGGATGGATGGATGGATGGATGGATGGATGGATGGATGGATGGATGGATGGATGGATGGATGATAGATGATAGATGAGCATTTCACTCAATCTTGGATGACAAATATGGAGATCTTACCAATTGTAGGCCCTAAACCTAACTCACTGATCATGGAGAAGACATTCTCTTGTTGAATAGTTTTATTTTTAGAACATACTCCACGGGCACCTTAGGTAGTCCATGGGGGCTACCAGGTGCCCCCCGGGCACCACGTTGGTGACCCCTGGTCTACAGTATGTACGTGTATAAAAGTTCTTCTCTAAATCGTTTGTTTATACAGCTGTACCTCTTAAAGTGCAAAATACTCTTTTACTACTTTCGCACTTATTGCTCTATTTTGACTTTTCGTTTGTACCTGACTGTGACAATGTACTAGAAAACTTACAGTAGGAGCAGCCAGTAGCAACATGACTGCACAGGTTGTGGCTCTTTTCCCCTGTTTATCAGAGACCACTCCGGCCAAGACTGCACCTGCACACAAACAAGCATTAACAAACTAAAATAATTATGCTTTTTTAATTATTTTTTTTAAACTAAAAAGAGTTAAGAGTGTGGGAGTGAATTGAAAAGTAAGAGGAAAAACATGGTCAAGACACGTACCTATTATGCCGCCCACATCAAACAAAGTGGAGAGATCCCCAGCCCTCTTGGCATCAAGGTGAGCTGAAGCACACACAGATACAGACACTAAACTTTAAAAAAAAAATGCATTATTTTATATTCTGTCCTTGTTTCTAGAATTCAGCTTTATGGTAAAGACCCAACATGGATTTGTCTCAACTTTACTGATGGATAATAAACAAGGACCAGGAGGAAACTGATCACTTGACAAGTGAGAAAATTAGGGAATTCACACTAGAACTCCAAAAAACTGCTTCTTTTAAATTATTTATTCAGTTGCATTAGATGGATGGATGGATGGGTGCGTGGATGGATGGGTGGGTGCGTGGATGGATGGGTGGATGGATAGATGGATAGATGGATAGATGGATAGATGGATGGATGGATGGATGGATGGGTGCGTGGATGGATGGGTGGGTGCGTGGATGGATGGTGGATGGATAGATGGATAGGTAGATAGATGGATGGATGGACGGATGGATGGATGGATGGATGGATGGATGGATAGGTAGATAGGTAGATAGATGGATAGGTAGATAGATGGATAGGTAGATAGATAGATGGATGGATGGGTGCGTGGGTGGATGGATGGATGGATGGATGGATGGATAGATAGATGGATAGGTAGATAGGTAGGTAGATAGTAAAGTAATAAAAAAAAAGCAAATTGATAAAATTACATAAAGTAATTAAAAAAAAAAGCAAATTGATAAAATTACAATTTGCAGATACATTTTACCTGCTTTGGTGATATAAAGGGGCAGCCAGAAGAGGAAAGTATAACTGACCAGCTTGGCAAACAGCAAACAAAGAGAGAACTCGATCACCCCCTGTTGACACAAACACCACAAATAAATGCATTTTAGTTAGTCTTTTTGGTATGGAAATCGTTTTAGTGATTCACATATTAGATTTGGCTAAAAGTTTTACGCCGGATGCCCTTCCTGACGCAACCCTCACCATTTATCCAGGCTTGGGACCGGCACTATAAAACACTGATTCGTGTACCCTAGGGGCTGGTTTCTACTTCTACTTTTTTTTAATTGAAATATTTCACCTCTTTTGATTAAAGAGATTAAAGCCCTCAACGCACTGGGTGCAATCAAAAACATTGGGGTTCCATATTCTTAGTTAAAGATATTATGCATTAAAAAAGGTTTTCTCTCCACATCAGTTGAGGAGCTTAGAAAAAAAAATCATCTGATCTGACCTCAGAGATTTAGTACAACAATCTCTAAATAATAAGAAGGGTATATTACAAGTAATTTACATGTGTGCAAGTGTGTTACTAACGGGTATTTGAAGGGCCCCCATGAAGCTGATAGCGGTGGGTTTCAATTCACTCTTTACCAACTTGACTTGCTGCACAGAGACACACACTTCATCTTTTGGCAGGAGCAACTCTGTATCATAGCTCTAAATATGAGGGGGGGAAAGCAAAAGGCATTAGTGATCAAGGAGTCATTTCGAGATAAAGTGAGGCTTCATGCAATCACTGCAAAAAAAGCATATTTTTGATCTTGTTAAATATGTTTTGAGCTTTTTTAATAATTGCAAAAACTATTTCTTATCTTTTGTCTGTTGTGTATCAGTCAGTTTCTTCTAAAAGTAAATGTAGTTTCAGGCCAGGAAATGTAAAAAAAAAAAAAAGTGTAAAAATGACAGTTCAAACATCCATCACAACATAAATTTTATTTTTAGAATTAGGTTAATCCAGGCATGGGTGAACTAAGGCCCGCGGGCCAGATTCAGCCCGTGTAGCTTTTTAATACGGCCTGCCAAACTTTTCCAAATGATATCATTTATTTCTATTATTATTATATTTATGCCTTTTGCCTGCAATACCTACATATTCCCAATAGATAGTGTAGGAAATGATAAAAGCATTTTAACATTTTAGCCCTTATGCATGACTCTTACATATTATTTAACTTAGTTCACACAATCAAAACCTACGTTTGAAGTTTTGTTATGGTGGATAAGAAATTTCTAAGACTGTGCCATCAGCAGACCAGTGTAGGATAAGATATTGACTCAAAACAGAAAAGATAGCATTGAATTTCTAAGACTGTGCCATCAGCAGACACATTGGTTATTTGTGTAGATGTGGTGAGGCGAATAGCCGAGTGCTTTTTGGAGTCAAGAACTCTTTGGGTTTAATGTTTTGACTGTGATTTGTGGTTGCAATTGTTTTGCATGTTTAGCCGAGTTCTAACACACATCAATTACCTGGGTGAAGTTATGATGATGAACTGCAAATGACCTTTGATTTATGTTAACCTGAAGATAACAAATGCTGAGATTAAAACAACAGTTCTGACACATTCCCTTTGAAAAGATATAAAGAGAAAAATGAAAGAAGAAGGAAAACTTCTGCTACTGAATCAAACATATTAATAGGAATGTCCGAAAGTAACGTTTTGGGAGAAGCTGGGTTTAGAGCAATAAAAAAGAGTTTAGAACGAGTTACAGCAATTACACTATTTTTAAAGCACACATCATTTCGCAAAACCCAACCATTGCGTTATCGGGTTTATATCAGAGGGAAAAAAAAATGATAAAGATTCTTAAAGATATTACATAAGAAAAAAAAAACCGATAAAGATTCTTAAAGATATTACATAATTATGCTAATGTCGGGCCAGTAATATCGGTCGGCTGATATAATTGGACATCCTTACATGTTACTTTATAAGAGACAAATAAATCTTTAAATAAATAAATAATCAATAAAAACCTCATCTTTCATTGCCTTGGACTTTTCCTGTTTCTTGGCACTGTTCAAACTCCTTTAGAATACCTTCATCCACAATCTGTTTCTTCTGCTTCGTGCTCAGTACAGATTCTTTGCCATGGCAAACCTCTAAATTACATACTAAATATTGTGAGCAGACGTTTTTCTTCCAATTGAAATTGGACCAACGATTAGATTATAGATTCGATTGGAGTATACTTTGGAAATTTAGATCGTAAACATCGACAGGTAAATGCTAACAAAGTGACCTTTTCCTCAGACGGACAGAGCTGTCCACATTCTCTCGTAAACCTTTCCTAGTCGAACTGCCTAGTGCTAAGCGTTTGGATTGGCGCACAAATGTGATTGCAAAATCTGATCAGTGCAGTTGAAACAGGCCAAAAATCTGTGTTTTAACTCAAAAATAAACTACCAGCACCAGTACTGCATTTGGGTCCTGCCTGCTTCCTGCTATGTCAATGCCCGCACGTGACATCTCTACTCCCTATATATGGAATTATATATTTACATTTTGTATGCATTTAACAGACGCTTTTATCCAAATCAACTTACAGAGGAGGACTGACATTATCAAGCGCGTGGTTCCTCTGGAAATCGAACCCTGGACTCTCTGCTCTCTGCTTCCGAGGCAGGTGCTAACCGCTAAACATCCACGTAGTAGCACATATAATCGCATAATATAGTGGACTCAAAGTTACATGAAAAATGGTTTCGAACACTACTTCGGTGTGCAGTTAATTATGCAATTGCAATGTTGTCACAAATGCAATGCATGATGGGATATATTGCTTATATGCTATATATTGCTATATATTCAGAGGCAGCTGATGAGTACCGGCATGTGTCTGCAGTGCTTGCTAAAGCAAAAACTTTAGCAAGGGCTGGCTGAGATATGGCCAAGGATTTCCTTCTCTTTCTGAGTCATCTGCTCCACTGGAGCTCTCTGCTTGGCAATCCTCAACCTCCAAAATTTCTTGTTTGGCACCAGCCCTTATCCAATGACAGGCTAGAGCGCATCTCTGATTCAACGTTCTCTGGCTACATTAACATAGTGGGAAATCCATGCGTGCACGCCCACGCGATTTTTCTTGAATTAACGCAGATAGCTTTTCCCGGCATTTAATTGTTTACTCAATAACGGCTTTCAAATGTAGTGAAGTAAAGTACTTGAGTCAAAATGTACTTGAAAGTGAAAGTGAAAGTAAAATTAACTATTCCCAAAACTACTTAAGAAATTACAAATTACTCAAAAAAACCAACAAAAAAAACCCACTCAATTACAGTAACGTGATTAAATGAACTTCATTACTTTCTACCTCTGCCCCGTCTCTAGGACTGAAGTTGCAGAGATAGTTAAAAAACCCCTTGGTGGCAAAGCCCCAGGGTTGGATCAGATTAAGTTCCTTAAGGCACTGGATGTTGTAGGGTAATCTTCACTGATCTCTATAGTCTTTATATAGGCTTATAGATTTATTTAATTTACTGATTGAATGACTCAGCGACGTCACTTGACTTCTCTGACATCCAAACCAGAGTCATCAAGAGGAAGTATAGAGTTAAATGTCTTTTATCAGCTCATGTATATATTATGCCAACCTAGAAAGCACAGAGGCAGAGGGGTACATTACCTGTAAATTGTTTTCCTTGTACTGTAGGTGAACCTCGGCTTGCGCATTCACTCCGTTCTGGTTCAGGTTTGGCAACTGTTTAAAGACAATGTAAACCATCAGTACATTCACATCTTAAATGTGAAGCTTCACTTAATGGCATTTACTATGGTACGCAAATTACGCAAAAAGATTTACCAAAGCATGATATCCATACCTAACCAATGCTGTTTGTGTACCTTAACACTTCCTTTATCTCCTAAACCAATCTTTTATTAAGGGACAAAATGGTAAATAGAGTTTCTTTACAAGGTTTACAAGGTCATCGTTTTTCATTTCACCCTGTTCTCTGTATCTTCTACGCTGACTCCAACTATCTGCATGTCCTCCCTCACTGCATCCATATATCTCCTTTTAGGCCTTCTTCTTTGTCCCCTAACCTTTCCTTCTACCAATGTATCCACTGTCCCTCCTCTGCACATGTCCAAACCATCTCAATCATTCTGTTCCCTTCCACGACATGACCATTAAAGTCTGCTCCAATCACCACTCTCTCTCTCCCCTGGAGATGATTTCTATCACCCAACCCAGCTCATTCCAGAACTTTTCCTTTTCTTCCAACTGACAACCATAACCACTGACAAATTCATCATCATTTCTACCATCACACACATCAACTGTGTAACTCTCGTTTCACTCCACTACATTTTTTGCATGTTCTTCCTTTTGGGTCACCCCTACTCCATTTCTCTTACCATCCGAACCATTGTGAAACAGTTTGTAGCCTCCTCCAATGTTTCTAGCCTTACAGCCCTTCCACCTGGTCTCCTGCACGCACAGAATTTCTACTCTTCTTCTCTCCATCATATCAGCTAGTTCTGTACTTTTCCCTGTCATTGTACCTACCTACATTCAGAGTTCCAAACTTCAGACCAACATTTCTATCCTTCCTCTTTTCTTCTAATAGTGGTATATCTATCTATCTATCTATATCTATATATGTATATATATACATATATATACATATATACATATATATGTATATATATACATATATATACATATAT